AATTTGAGGAAGAAGCGTTCTTTTCTATCCATCTGTCTCTTTTCTATCCATCTGTCGTCTAGACCCCATCCCTTCCCTCCTCATATTATTCCCCAGCTTCCTGAAAGCACTTTGCATCAGCCCTTTACTATCCCACTGAACCTTTGGAAAGCTGAGAAGTTCCCAGGCTGGTGTGAATTTGCTGCAGTGGGGGGTGGGTGGGGCGACAGGCCATGCCCGCCTGGTGAGGATGAGGATTTCACTAGAGTGAGGTTCCTCAGAAGCCACCGTGGGTGTCCCTATCCGCGGTGACTTGAGTTATAGGGCATTTTCTATCCAGACACCTCATTTTGGCTCGGCTCCAATCATGGAGTTTACTTCCGGCCACAGGCTTTGAACCCGTGTCCTTGACAGGAACTAAGTTCTTTTCCATTTGTCCCCTGTCTCCATCGGCACCCACTTCACCAGAACCTCCCCTGGCATTGTGTTTGTCCCTCTTCTCCACATCACACTCAAGAAGGGCCGAGGGTCAAGTAGCTGACCCTGCTCAGTGAGATGCAGATATAGCTTCTGTGTTAAAAGCGATTTGCAGAGAGCCTGCTGGTAGGTCCTTTACTCGTGGCCACCAAACCAGTTATTCAGGAGGAAAGAGGGCAAACCGGTGCCCATTTCTAGAGATTGCTACTCTTTATTTGCTTTTCTCTTTCCTTTCCCAAGTCTCTCTTCTCCCTCTTCTACAAAAAAGTCACTACCACAATTGCAAGATAAAGAAATAATCATTTTATCGTGCATCAGACTATTTCATGGGGATGTCACAGAGGCAAGGAGCCTCGTATAAAAATTGGAGGATGGGATGGGGCAGCAGAGGGGCAGCAGCATCCAGAGCCAGGGCCTCTCCAGCCCGAGGCCGCGGAGGACATCACCTTGGCCTGTGGCAAGATGAGTGGAGAAGGTTTTGGGCTGGACTTGGACCCTCTGGCCAGCTTCCAGAGTGGGTGGGCTGTCAGGCCTGTGCTGGTTCTTCCTTGATCTGGGACAGTTTGGAGGAGGGCGTGTCCAAGGAAGCTCCATTTGCCTGTGGCTGAGGCTCCCTTTGGCGTTTGGGGGGCTGGTGGTGGTGGTGGTAGGACTGGGCAGAGGTTACACCCTTCAGAACCCCAGCTGTGAGGAGCCCCCGGCAGGTGGGAAGGTGAAGCCCGTGAATGGGCACAGACCCTCTCCCTTCTTCCTGGGGGGTAGTGCCCATCATACCAGCATTCAGCCTGGACCTCCTGTTCCCCTGGCTCTGGGGAGAGGACTTGGGGGTGGGGGAGAGTGGCTCAGCCCTATCTCTGGAAGGGGAGGGGTCCCTGTTGCTCCCTTTGTCAGGGTCTGCCTCTGCCAGTGAGGGTTGGTATTTTCCCATATGGCTGCACAGAGCCCGCCAGAGGAGCAGTGAGCCCCGCTGGGCAGCTGTGGGGACACGGTCGGCTCAGCTTTCATCCACATCAGAGCCTGCCCGCCCCAAGATTATCCCCACATTCGAATGTGGCTCCAGCATCTCACTTGGTTTTGGCCTTCTCAGATGGACACTGAGCAGAGAGCTTGGCTGGAGGCCAAGAGTGTTGACCTCTTCGTGAGGGAGCCAACACCAGGAGGCACAAACCACAGGCCTGGAGAGCTTCTACAGGCCAGAGCCTGCCTTCTGAATCTGGGACTTTGATTCAGACATTGAACCCTGGAGCCAAGAGCTTGGGTCTGAGAACCTCCAAAGGGGATCCCAGAGCTCAAGACCTCAAACCAGAAGCCTAGAGCCCCAATGTGGGGGAAGCCTGGAGCCTGGGCTGGCAGCGAGTCCCTTTGGTGGTTGGGAGCCCACCCAGAGGCAGTTGGGTCAGGCCAGGTCTTGCTGTGTGCTTGTCTTGCTCACAGAAGTTTGGACTGGACTCCTAACGGTGTGGCTGCTGTGCAGGGCCAGGCCCGGGCAGCTGGTGCGGTCTTGGGGGGACTCTTCAGTACCGTGGTCCCCAGGGGCAGGGTGCCTCTCTGCTGTCCGCCTTGTCCCTCAGAGCTCTGCCCTCAGGAACTGTGGGGGCTCTCGCTCAGCCTGTGGTCTGTGCCTCCAACTGCCTCGCGGCCCTTTTCCTCCAGCAGAGCCCCCTCCCCAAGGCTCAGACCCAAGAAGACCTGCAGGTTCTGGGCCTTTAGGTGCAGGAGCCTGGAGGAGCCTTGGCTGGAGGGCTCTTGCGGCTCTGCCTCTGCATCTTGCTGCTCTGGGACCCGCGGGGCATTGTCCCCGCTGCTACAAAGTGGGCACGAACATCCCTGTCTTCTCCATCATCCAGTGAGATGGCCCAGTATCGGGCCTAGAACGTAGTATTTACTCAGTAAATTGGGCGCATGAAATGGTTGGGAGAGGGCTTTCTTACACGGCCCTTTCCTCTGTGTGTGTGTGAGCCATGTCCATTCCTAGTGTCAGAGAAGCAGCTCTGTGAGGAGGAGACTCACACGGGGCATCACTGCAGAGACCCTGCTAGGATCGCTGATCCAGGATGGCCGGTTGGACTCCTGCCTGGAAGGGACCAGGGAGTGGGGGTTTCCCTCTCTGAGGGGGAGGCCAGGCAGGCTGGGCTCTAGGGTGGGACTGCAGCTTTCTCTTGCCCTCACCTCACCTGCTCTTCTGCCTGAAGGTCCCACAGAAGTTGCACCTCCAGCTGCTCATGGAGGGCTGAAATGAACCCTCTGCCCTTGGCCTGGTATCTGCCCATTCCCTTTCCAGTGGCCTTGAGAGGACAAGGCTACCAGGATGAAGCTGCCAGGGGCCTGTGTGTATGTGTGGGGGCGCAACTTCCAGCAAAATGGCACTGATTTCCCCCACCATAGGGCCACCTCTTTCCCTAGATGGCGGTTGGTAGGCACGTGGCTGTAACACGCCTGCTACCCACTTTGAGTCCACAAGTGGAAAGACGGACACAGATAACAGCCGAGTGAGTGGTCAGCAGCAGCCACGCGTGGACAGCCGGAAGTACGAGCAAGGTCCCTTTGGTCAGTGGCAGCCACGGAGGCCCAGGCTTCAGGCAGACCCCAGTTGGTGCCCTTGGGGTCGCCTGCCTGGTTTCGGTAATAAATAACATGAGGACCCAAAAACCAAACCAAAACAAAAAAATATAACCAGTATCTTTTGGGGTGGGTGGTGGGGGACTGTTTAAATTACGGGCCTTCCCC